CTTTTGCAAAAAAAAAATAAAATAAAAAAATAGCGTTATTGGTGGTTGTTTTATAAATATAATATTCCTCCTCTAAGACCGTTAGCTTCAGCCTCCAAGACAAGCTAATTTGGATTTCTACTAAATGAGGGCACCAGGGAAGCTATTCACTGAGATATTACACTGCTCAAAAAACTAAAAGGAGCATGCAAATAACACATCCTAGATTTGAATGAAGAAATTTTTCTCATTGAATACTTTGTTCTGTACAAAGTTTAATGTACTGAAAACAAAATCACACAAAAATCATCAATGGAAATCAAATTTATTAACAAATGAAAGCCTGGATTTGAAGTCAGACACATAATCAAAGTGGAAAAACCCACTACAGGCTGATCCAACTTTGATTTAATGTCCCTAAAATGGGTCAAAATGAGGCTCAGTATTGTGTCTGGCCTCCACTTTCCTGCATGACCTCTCTACAACACCTGGGCATGCTCCAGGTGAGGTGGAGGATGGTCTCCTGAGGGATTTCCTTCCAGGCCTTGACTAAAATCATTCGTCAATTCCTGGACCGTCTGCAGTTCAGCGTGACGTTGGTGGATGGATCGAGACATTATATCCTAGATGTGCTCAATCGGATTCCAGGTCCAGGGAACTGACAGGGCCAATCTATAGCTTCAATGCCTTCATCTTACAGGATCTACTGACAAACTCCAGTCATATGAGGACTATCATTGTCCTGCATTAGGAGGATTCCAGGGCCAGCCACACCAGCATGCGGGGGGTCTGAGGATCTCTGTACCTAATGGCAGTCATGCTACCTCTGGTGAGCACATGGAGGTAGCATGACTCACCAGGATTGGCAAATTCTCCACTGGCGAATTTGCCAATCCCGGTGTTCTCTGGCAAATCGCAAGCATCTTGCATGGTGTTTGGCTGTGAGCACAACCCCCATCTGGAAATGTCAGGCCCTCGTACCATCCTCATGGAGTCGGTTTCTAACCATTTGTTCACACAGGCACATTTGTGGCCTGTTGGAAGTTATTTTGCAGAGCTCTGGCAGTGCTCCTCCTGTTACTCCTTGCACAAAAGCTACTGTTGGGTTACTTCCCTCCTAGGGCCTGTCTCCTGGTAGCATCTCCAGCCTCTAGAAACTATGCTAACAGATACTGCAAACCATCCTGGATGAGCTCCACTACCTGAGCCACTTGTGTTGTAGAGTCTGTCTCATGTAAACGCCAAAAGTGACTAAAACATCAGCCAGAAAGCAGTTGTACTGAGAAGTGTTCTGTCTTCCTAATTTCCACTGGTATTTATACCATTTGCACAACAACGTGTGAAATTGATTGTCTGTGCTACTTCCTAAGTAGAACGGTTTGATTTTACAGAAGTTGCATTTGATTAAAGTTATACTGTGTTGTTTATGTCCCCTGTAATTTTTTTGCAATTTGACATAGCCTCTATTCAGAAACCCTAAACTATCCCTCTAAGGCCTGTAAGCCTCATTATATTGTTCTTTCAAATGAGCTTCTAACACTTGAATTGATCCAGCATAAAGAAATCAGCCATCTTTTTCATTCTTAACATTTAATCACTGTGCTAAGCAAGTAAACTCAATCACAGTAAAAACATGAGCTGATGATAATGTTCACAGTCATACTGTAAAACGGGAGTCCTTCTGTTGCTGAAGTTGCTAATGATACAAAGTGGTTAAAATTACCTCCAACTGGCTAAAATACCAAATTGCAGAAAAGGATCGTAGATTTCTAAGAGCTCCTCCAGGCAATTTTCCCACACTTACATGGAAGCTGTTTGTTGTTACAAATGTTCCTTCCAGACGTGAAAAGACTCCCTGCTGCTCTAATCCGACGTCAGGGAACTCATTTGCAGTCCTGATTCTTTGCAACCATCTCCAATTGAGGCAAAGCCCAATTCAGTCTTCAGCTCTGCAGCATTCAGACTGACAATAATCTCATGTTGACATTTCTGGTGCATCTTATGAAATATTTTACACTCACAGTTACTTTGAAATTATATTTTGATATATAATATACTTGAATAGATTTTATATAACTGCTTGCCATCATTTTACTCGTGTGTGTCAAACAGCTGATTTATTCATCATCATCTTACCCAATCATACCTACTTCCTGCTTCTCTCAGTGATGCTGGTGTGAAATGCTCACCTATTGATGTTTTTTAAACACAACTCTGCCTGTTTGTCAGGAATTCTCCACGAACCAGATGCTCGTTCGTTTTCTTTCAACTCTTTCTAGGCAAAGAACCTGTTGACTTAAAACTAGATTAAGAGAAAGTTTTAAACAAATTAGCCAATAACATTTATTAGGTGGATATATTATGGCATTACTCTACAAAAGCAATCATACTACTTGACTGATTGTAAGATAATTTTCTACTTAGCTCCATCCCTGTCCTGTCCATGCTGAATGGTGCTCCCACCCACTGAGAGGTTTTTACTTCACTGCTTTGGTATTCATGCCAGCCTGCTCTGTTTTCCTTTCGTTTGCCCAGAGTTTCCTCGATGGATGGAAGCAAAAAAGGAGCTGAGCAGAATCATGAAGCACTAATTGATGTCCTGAATTTCTTCCACCTGGGCTGTGAATTCCCGCGGCTCCTCCAAACCTATAAATGTGCTTTGTGGCTGGTTTTCTGATAAAAGTTCTTTATCAGTTAAGGTAGATAGTTTTGTCTGGGTGGGTTTGTGCCAAACTCTTTCTACTCTTAAAGGTCACAGCTACATTTATTTTTTTCATAAATAATGGACCCACAGAATGACCACAGTGGTGTGAATAAACGTACTAATTAGGGGAAAAATGTATTATACAAATCATATTTTAATAAATTTAAACTGGTCCAAAATATTTCAATATTTACCACTGGTTTTAATACCAAGATTGACACAAAAAGACGCTTGACCTTAAAAACAACGGTCAAAAAGAAAGACTACTCTCTGCACTATAGTCAGCCATGGTTGATAATTTTCTTCCCGCCTCTGCTTAGCAAGACTGAACAGAATAGTGCTCTTTGCTGAATATTAACAGAGATGGCAAAAGTACTCACTTTCCGTACTTGAGTAAAAGTACAG